TGTCCCTCAGCTCTTCAGCTCAAGGCGAGCACTCTACCACTTGAGCTACAGCGCCACTTCCGGTTTTCTGGTGGTTTATTGGAGATAGGAGTCTCATGGTCTCTCCTGCCCGGGCTGGCTTTGAACAGCGATCCTCAGATCTCAGCCTCCTGAGTAGCTAGGATTACAGGCGTAAGCCACAGCGCCCGGCTACATATATTTTTCTTTTACTGTTTAAGTATCTCCTGAACTCTGTTTTAATGGTTATAGAAATTAACACTGCCTTAGTGAAAGACTTGATATTTTATCCTTCTTTTTTTTTTGTTGGTCGTGAGACTTGAACTCTAAGCCTGAGCACTGTCCCTCAGCTCTTCAGCTCAAGGCAAGCACGCTACCTACCACTTGAGACACAATACCACTTCTGGTTTTCTGATGGTTTATTGGAGATAAGAATCTCATGGACTTTTCCTGCCTGAGCTGGCTTTGAGCCATGATCCTCAGATCTCAGCCTTCTGAATAGCTAGGATTATAGGCATGAGCCACCAGCGCCTGGCTTATGTTAGCCTTCTTAAGAACACAAAATCTGGGCTGGGAAGGTGGCTCAGTGGTAGAGTGCTTGCCTTGCATGCCTGAGGCCCTGGGTTTGATTCCTCAGCACCACATAAGCAAAAAGAAAAAAGCCGAAAGTGGCGCTGTGGCTCAAGCAGTAGAGTGCTAGCCTTGAGCTGAAGAGCTGAGGGACAGCACCCAGGCCGAGTTCAGGCTCCACAACCGGACCCAAAAACAAAAAAACACAAAATCTTCACTTTTTAATATTTATATCTAATATAATATTTATATCTAATAAAGCATTTATTAGATCTAATAAAGTTTTATTAGATCTTTTGATAAATCTATCTCTTCCTTGGTAGATTCACAGCCCTAAAAAAAGACATAATCCTCAAGTTAAATTATAGTCATATTAAGGAAAAAACTATTCTTTTCTTTCTTTTTTTCGAGGTGCTGGGTTTTAGAATGCAGGGCCTCAGTCTATGCTAGAGAGAGTACATTGAACTGTTATTACTAGCCTGAAAAATTAATTCTGAGCAAAATTTTCCCACATCTGATATAGTTCTAAGTCATAGAGAATTGTTAAAAGAGTTGCAGCTGGGCACTGGTGGCTCACGCCTATAATCCTAGCTACTCAGGAGGCTGAGATCTGAAGATCATGGTTCAAAGCCAGCCTGGGCAGGAAACTCTGTGGACTCTGATCTCCAAGAAAAACCACTAGAAAACTGGAAGTGGCACTGTGACTCAAGCGGTAGAGTGCTCACCTTGAGCTGAAGAGCGCAGGGACAGTGCCCAAGCCCAGAGTTCAAGCCCCACGGCCAACAACAAAAAAAAGAGTTGCTTATTCTGATCTGCAAATTCTTCTGTACCTATTTCTGTACGTCTAATTCTGGAAAGAAAATACGCATGCATTTGCTGAATGACTTCTATATACTTAGCATTATGTATGCGTCATGAGTGTTGAAAAAGAATGCAGGGAACCTCTCACAGTCTATAATAACATCACAAATGTTGTTTTTTTTCCCTCTTCACTAAAGTAGCTGTGATTTTTTTGAGCCTTGAAAGGAACAATAACAGGTCAACAAACTGCTTTAAGTCACAAAACAGCTCAAGTTGCATCATTTAAAGGTCTTCAAAAAGAGAAATACACATGAAAGGAGAAAGATGAGAAGAGCCCTTACTGCTATGCAACTTAATGTTGTTTAGTAAACAAGAAGAGTATCAGAAACAGAAACTGGTAAGGACTTTTTAGGTAAAAGGCAAATACAATTATATCAAGAGATAGAGAGGTAGGAAGGTTTCTCATTAAGGACAAATAATACATCCATATACATGATTTAACACTCAGTGCATACATATATAGCACACACACACATATATAAAGATATATATTACATATATAAAAGTGCATATTTTATACACTCACCTCTCTTTGTTTGGCCAAAGAGAAGGCTGGACTAAGTACATAGTATAAACATCTTAATTTTTAAACTAGAGTTCAGAACCAGACACTTCTTTTGTTATTACTAAGGAGTTATACAAAGGGATTACAATTCCATAAATTAGGTGAGTACAATGCTTCTTGGACAATAACACCCCTTCCTTTGCTTTCCCCCATCCCTCCATCCCTGCCCACAAGTTGCATTTTTTTTTTTTTTTTTGGTCCTTTGTGAGGCCTGAACTGAGCCTTGGCACTGTCCCTCAGCTCTTCAGCTCAAGGCTAGAGCTCTACCACTTGAGCTACAGTGCCATTTCTGGCAGTTTCTGCTTATGTGGTACTGAGGAATTGAACCCAGGGCCTCATGCATGCAAGGCAAGCGCTCTACTACTGCGCCACCTTCCCAGCCCCTGCACAGTTCATTTTTTACATAGTGTATATTAAACACTACGAATACATTTGCAGAACCTAACTCTTGACATGTCTCAAAATGTAAAAAGGAGTTAAGCACTGAACACTAAAACTTACTATGATAGTCACAAGATTGGCTTTTATTAAACTATTTTAGTCCCTTATAAACTACTTTAGTTCTTTGTTATCTGGTCTTGCATTTTAGAAAGTTGGCCTAGCAATGTAGCTCAGTGGTAGAGTGTAACCATGCTAAGAGCATTACGAAGAGCCACGAGAGAACCGTGACAGACCCTCCCTCTGCAACAGGCTACCAACAAGTATAAAACAAGGTCTTTCAGGCATTATCAAAGTACAAAAGTGTATATTTCATGACAAGTTAGTTTGCATATTTAAAAAATCAATCTGCAATATTTAAGAAATAGGAAAGTCTATTATATTTCATTAAAACTCAAGTATTAAGTGGATTATGTGACATCTGTACATAAGAGAGAAGTTAAGGTACAAATTTAGCTGTGGTTTAACAACAGATCAGCAAAAATCCCCACATCTGAGGCAATTCAAATTGCCAAGGAAGCAAACAAGTATTATTGACAGTTTCTAGGCCTACATGCTTGTTTTACTTTTTTTTTTTTTTTAGCTATTAGAATAAGAGTGAAAGTTACTCAATAATAACAAAAACAAAAGAAAGTTCTCTCACAGGTATTTCTTTGTCCAAATTATAGTTACTATGTGATATAACAGATTGACAATATCTCCTCAGTTTTGAAGGATTACATTAAAAAAAAATAAGCCAGGCATCAGTGGCTCACACCTGTAATCTTAGCTCCTAAGACATTTCAAGCTAGCCCAGGCAGAAGTATTTAAGATTTCATCTCTAACATTAAGAGGGCTAGATGTGTGGTTCAAGTGACAGAGTGCCACCTGTGATTGAAAAGAAAAACCCAAACGAGAGTGTGAGGCCCTGAGTTCAAGCCCTATTACCAGCAACAAAAGCCCCAAACAACAACAAAAAGATACCTATAAGAACTTACCAGTGGACCAGTGCTTGCCTAGCATACTGAGCAACATTGTTTGATAGCTGTTATACAGTAAAAACTGGGAAAGCAGTTAGTAATTTACATGACAGAAAGGCAAATAAATGCTCTTCATGTACCTCTAAAAACTCAAACTGATTAATAGTGGAATTCCTTCTTGTAACTGTCATGAAAGAGAGTTAGTAGGGGGAAAAAACCCTTTCTATTAATTTTTCTCTTGTGTGACTTTAAAGTCCCCAGAAAGGTGTCAAAAAGTTAAGAATAAATTTACCTTATTTTCTTCTAAAAATTTCAATTTGATAGACACATCACTGCGCATTTTATCATATTTTTCTTTATGTGCTTGGAACAGATGCTGTGACTGCTCAATTTTTGGCAAAGTGTTTGCATCACGTGGTCCAAGATTCAGTTCTTCCAAGTCAGTTCTATATGCATCATATTCAATCCTAGGAAGAAGAGATTAAGTGTTATGTACTACAAAGAAATGCATTCAAATGGGCTGGAAACAAGAATTAAGTTAATCTATCCCATATGTTTGTGAAATCAATATTTCTTTAAAAACAAAGAGCTACTAATGTAAGAATAGGGTGGAGATTGAAGATGTAATTCAGTGGTAGAGTGCTTGTTAGCAAGTGTGAGGCCCAGGATATGATACCCACCACGACAAAATACACACATACATACACAAAAAGAAAGTATGGTATAAGAATGAGCCAGGTGCTGGTGGCAAAATCAGAATCATAAAGTTTATATTCTAAAACTAAAGGTATTCAGATATCTATAGGGTGATATCTCCTAGTCTGGGAATACTTTACCACAAAAAGTAGAGGTGTGTGGGTGGTAAAGAATAATGGCAATCAGGGGAATAATTAACTAATTAGATATCTGAAAAAGCATCACAGAGTGGAATTAAAAAACTGTAATTAAATTTTAGAATTGTAAAAACTTACTGCATCGACTAGAGTAAGATTGGTAGAACACTGCAGAATGTAAACAGCAATGGGCCAATCAGAGAGGTGTAAGATAGCATGACCCATGAGGGAATTAATTCAGTATGTTGTAATCTGAAGTGATAACACAATAATTGGCAGAATTAAACAGTGACTTAACAGACAGGCGGACTGAGGTTGGGCAATACTATGCCCTGTTTAGCAGTGCAGATTTAACTGCGTTGTATGGGAAGCCACTGAAGAACTGTGATATATCAAGAAGCCAGCATAGATAGCTCTGTTCTGGAGAGAAAGGTGACCCTCGTAGCAGTGCAAGGAACGAGACTGGAGAAGTCTAACAAAGCACAAGAAATCAAACTACTTAGAACACCATAGACATGAGAAATCAGTCACTGAAGAAGGACAAAAAGACAGTGGTGCCAGGAAGACAGACACAAAAGACTTCTAGGGCAAGACTAAATTGGTACCAGGAATGAGCTAGTTAATTCATGAGTTCAGTAGTCAAACTCCACCGACCAGTGGCTCCAATGTCTTTAGCTAGTATTATCCTCTTTGTCATATGTAAATGGGAAGAATCTCCAGAAAACTTATGTGCTGTGTGCATGCACACATTTTAGAAACTAGACAGTGAAGAAAACCTTTAGAATGCTTATTATTACAGTTCAGTTAGAAGAGTTGCTAGAAGCAAATATACTAAAACTAAGAAAAAGAAAAAAGGTAGAACAAAGGCAGGATCCCACATCTCATGCCTGTAATTCCAGCTACTTGAGAGACAGAGGTAGAAGAATCACCATCTGAGGCCAGCTTGGGCAAAATACAAGACCCTTTCTGAAATATGACTACTAGCAAAAGGGGCTAGAGGAATGGTTCAGATGGCAGAGTGTGGCTCATAAATGCAATGCTATGTGTAAAAAACCCCAGTACTACATTAGGAGGGGGAAAAAAAAACTAAACCAAACTAAATTTAAAATTGCCCTTACAATAAATCACCACATGCTACTATTTTAAATATCCTTCAATGCTCTGGAGAACATTTAAACAGTAGCTAATGATTTCAGCATAGTTGAAGTTGTAATTCTGAGTTTATGCTCTTTAACTTTTTTTTCATTAAGTTTGTAGATGTGTCCAAATAAACTTCCCAAAGTGCTCAGTACTACCAAGGGCAGTGTGTACTAAGTTTTCCAAATGCAAGTCCTTCAAGACTGCATACATTAACAAAGTTAGTGAGGGTTACTTTAAGATTTATGTAAAACTTCTAGAAAACAGGTGTCCACATCTGAAACGTCTTCTACACAATTGACTCCCTTGTTGCTGCTGCTGAGTGTGGCTGTCAGAAGATCTGCGACACACAAAGCACACAAAGCGCCACAGGACTAGGAAATCCTTGTATACAATGCATAATAGGGAGCTTTAAAAGGCCACCCAGGCATTTGCCTAAATTGCCACTTTTTGTACTGATCAAATACATGACCTTTGCCCTAAAAGTCAGTAAGTTCTGGTTTTGATGGAGAAGAAAGTCAGTTCCTGAAACACTTCTAGATTCTTTTAGAATATTATTTCTCAGTAGGCAGTATTTCAGTGTTACAGCTTACCTAATCTGTAGCTACTATATTAACAGGAATCCAACCTTGTACCAAGCTTAAAGAATAAGATCATATGTTGTAATTTGAATAAAAGGATAAATGATGGGCTGGGATTGTTGTTAGTTTGTCAAGCATATACAGAAATTGTCTAAAGGTTTCCTTTAAGTAACCAGCTACCAAGCACATACAACTTGATTTATAGCTTTATAAATGCTCCAAATGAATTTATATGTTATATAAACTGAGATACCATCTTTTCAGTTAGGTTTCTCATTACAAGATGTGAACACTTTTTAAAAAAAAATATGACATGGGCTGGGAATGTGGCTCAGTGGTAGAGTCCCTGCCTCGTATGCATGAAGCCCTAGGTTGGATTCCTCAGTATTACACACAAAAAGCTGGAAGTAGTGCTCAAATGGTAGAATGTTAGCCTTGAGCCAAAAATATATGTTAAAATATATATTAAAAAACATGACATGATCATTGTTTTCTGGTGCTGGTGATTGAATCCTAGGTCCCTGCGCATGTTGGCCAAATATTCTATTACTGAGATGAAACTCCATTCTCCCAATTTTTATTTATTTTATATTTTATTTGTGCCAGTCCTGGGGCTTGAACTTAGTGCTGCCTTTGAGGTTTATCTCATCACTACCATAGCTCCACTTCCAGCTTTTCTTGGTGGTTAACTGAAAATGAGTCTCTCCACCACCAGGCACTGTCTCATGTCTGTAATTCTAGCTACTCAGGAAGATGAGATCTGAATCACACACACAGTTCAAAGCTAGCCCAGGCAGGAAAGTCTCAGAGTCTTATCTCCAATGAACTACTAGAAAGCTGGAAGTGGCGCTGTGGCTCAAAGTGGTAGAATACTAGCCTTGAGCAAAAGAGCTCAGGAACAGTGTCCATGCCCTGAGTTCAAGCCCTACAGCTGACAAAAAGGAAGAAAAAAAAGTCTCAAACTTTCCTGCCTGGGCTGGTTTTGAATCACTACTCTCAGATCTCAGCTTCCTGAGCAGCTAGGATAGGCATGAGCCACCAGCATCTAACCCTCCTCCCAGTTTTAAATTAATCCATATCAAGTATAAAAGTAGGAGCACATGGGCTCTAGTCTTGGCTTTGAAACCGACTATATGTGAGGGGAAGAGCCTTAATATTTGTCCCCTGTAAATAAAATATAAAATGTTTTATGTTTGCGACTTTATTAAAGTCATTGTCCTTCAATATGTGTCAATTTAAAAAGCTATTGTAGGAATAAAGACTGAAGGGAAAGACAGTATATGCTAAACAATTAAACTATATTTCTAATATAGGTAAATAAATTATTTTTTTATCTACCTATGAACTGGAGAAACAAAACAGATTCACATGTTTCTTAATTGGGAGTTGGGGGTGTATTTTTTTGGGGGGTCCGGTAGTGGGGCCTGAACTCTGGGCCTGGGCACTGTCCCTCAGCTCTTCAGCTCAAGGCTAGCGCTCTACCACTTGAGCCACAGCGCCACTTCCAACTTTTTTTTCTTTTTGCTTTTGTGGTGCTGAGGAATCGAACCCAGGGCATCATGCATGCAAGGCAAGTGCTCTACCACCTTCCCAGCCTGGGGGTGAATTTTTGAAACAAAAGCATTCTTATCTTCATGGGGCTGGGAAGGTGGCTTAGTGGTAGAGTGCTTCCCTTGCATGCATAAGGACCTGGGCTCGATTCCTCAGCATCACATAAGCAACAAAAGCCAGAAGTGGTGCTGTGGCTCAAGTGGTAGAGAGCTAGCCTTGAGCTGAAGAGCTGGGGGACAGTGCCCAGGCCCAGAGTTCAGGCCCCACAACTGGCAAAAAAAAAAAAAAAGAAAAAAAAAAATTCTCATCTTCAAAACTCACAAATATTAGAATTGAAAAGACTGGAAAATAAAGAGGCTTCAGATGGGGCTGGGAAGGTGGCTCAGTGGTAGAGCGCTTGCTTGCCTTGCATGCCTGAGGCCCTGGGTTTAAGCAAAAAAAAAAAAGCCGGAAGTGGCGCTGTGGCTCAAGTGGTAGGACGCTAGCCTTGAGCTGAAGAGCTGAGGGACAGTGCCTAGGCCCAGAGTCTCAGGCCCCACAACTGGACCAAAAAAAAAAAAAAAAGAGGCTTCAGATGATTAAAGACAAAAAAGGAAGAGTATCAAGTATGTACAAATTAGGAGATTATAAAGAATATTTGATATTTAGAAAAGAATCATGTAAAACTTATACAAATAAAATGCTTCATTCATACTGAATATGTATATAATGAATCCTTTGAAAAACATACTGTCCATGAAAGGAGTTAAACAGACTGGAAAACAATTCACTAGGAGTATTATCAAAGGCAAAATCATTAGAAGATTTTTTTACAGACAGATTCCTTCAATGTAAGTGAAGGAGATACTATTGAAAGATTCCTCTTGATTCTTTTCTCCCCCATTTTCTAGTTTTAATACTATGTTAATGATTCAAACAATAAATAGAAAAAAAAACATAAGACCTAGACCTGCACACACATACAAAAGCACTTAAACTGGGTATGGTGGTACATGCATTAAACTCCAGCACTCATAAAGATAATGTAGGAGAATTTTAACTTTGAGGTCAACCTGGACTACATAGCAAGACCTTATCTCAAACAACAACAAGAACAAGAGTATAAATATGTAACAATAAGAAGACTAGGTTTGTCACCTGTAGAGCAAAAGGTCAAAAAAGTCATGCTTCTAAAAGGTGAAGTTTGCATCCATCTTTAGCTACGGTATCAAATTTCACAGAAAAATATAATCGGAACCTCTAAGAGAACTGGACTGAAAAGTAAGGGGACTGAAAAGCCAGGGCATATGGTGGAAAAACTAGGCCTAGAATCAAAGCAGAATTTTTTTTTTTTTGCCAGTCATGGGGCCTGAACTCTGGGCCTGGGCACTGTCCCTCAGCTCTTCAGCTCAAGGCTAGCGCTCTACCACTGGAGCCAAGCACCACTTCCAGCTTTTTCTGCTTATGTTGTGCTGGGGAATCGAACCCAGGGCCTCAGGCATGCAAGGCAAGCACTCTACCACTGAGCCACCTTTCCAGCCCCAAAGCAGAAAAAATTTTATCATGGGTTTATCTCTTTTTAGACATTTGTAAGTATTTATAATATATATTTTATTCACATATCAAAATGGTTGTGATAGGGTATATGTATGAAATAAAGCATATGGAATACTTGCATTATAACAACTTCAACATATAAGGCAAATACTGAAAAGGCATGGTGGTGGATACTTGTAATCTCAGCACTCAGGAGGCAGAAGGAGAATCATGAATTCAAAGCCAGCTTAGGCTATATAATAAGACCCTGTCTAAAAAGACCAACAACAAACTACAAATACTTCTACAAAAGGTAAACTGGCACATGTTTGAAGGCTAGTTATACCTGGACAAAAGAAAACTGGAAGTTGGGGCTGGGAAGGTGGCTCAGTGGTAGAGCGCTTGCCTTGCATGCATGAGGCCCTGGGTTCGATTCTTCAGCACCACATAAGCAGAAAAAGCCGGAAGTGGCGCTGTGGCTCAAGTGGTAGAGCGCTAGCCTTGAGCTGAAGAGCTGAGGGACAGCACCCAGGTCCAGAATTCAAGCCCCACAACCGACAAAAAAAAAAAAAAAAAAAGAAGAAGAAGAAAACTGGAAGTTGGTGTCCACGGTTCAAACTTGGCTGTGGAGACAGAAATGAGCTCCTGTATCAGGAGCAGACAGTGCGATCAGTGCGCTGTGAGGGCAGTGAGCTGCTTTTGTCAGGAAATACCAAGTAACAGGGGTGACAAGTACATTGGTCCACATTATTGAGGACCATCTACTTGCTGGTCGTCTTTCTGGTAGGACAGAGGGCCCTGTGCTTTTCCAGGGAAGCTCAAGCAGGGAGGTTCTCCATTTCTTTGCTTCTTAGCAGGCAAGGTTTGGACACCTAACAACGCTCAAATGTACCTTCCCAAGGCTGAAGCAAATACTCAAGGCCTTTAGAAACTTCTGTGGGAGCTATGGCAGCATCAAGCACTAGAGGCACTTAGATCAGAGTCCTAATTATGTATTTCTGAGGTTTTATTTGGCTTTGGCTCTTGTGTATTTCTAGAATTATGTTCTCCTCTCTCTTAGTTCTGTGGATTTTCTATATTTTTGTATATTTTTTTCCTCTGTCAATATTGGACAAAGTTCTTTCTGCAATTAAATTTATAGGTGAGTACGTGCCACCTGAAAAATGGGCAATCTAGCAGGAATTGGTACCTACCTGGCACTCTCGTACTGTTTCACCGTCATTAATGTATCTTCAATTGTTTTGTTCACCAAAGTGTTCACGCTGGCAATGAAAAAATTAATGGCCCCAAGAAGGGTTTCTCCATTTTTAGCCAGCAGCTTCTGAGTATCTGCATTGTAGCCAAATTCTTCCTAAAACAAAGCACCACCGTTATTTAACCAGTAAAACAATTAGTAGAAATGACTTCGAAATTTCAACCATATCTCTAATGGGAAAACATCTGATTTAGAAATCTAGCAATGGAAAATTTACTTTTTCTTTAGATCTTTAAATATTTAAAACTCTAAATCACAGCTAGCTATATAATTATCAAAAAGTTTAGTAAACCAAAATAGTCATCAGCTCAGATGCATAGCTAAACCTAGTTTTTAAAAGTAAAACTACTTTGTACTAGCGAAAGAATATTTTAGTTTCTACATTCTGTTTGTATTATATTATAAGCACAGCTGTTAGGGAAAACTATAGCAGATTATTAATCAGAGAAACTATAACTTTCACAACCAAATTAGGTAATAATTGGCTAAAACTATGAGACATAAAATAGATTGTAATTTTTTTGTGTTTTGACTGAATCTCCTCAAAGTATAAATATTAACAAGACACATTTCTTTGTAGACTTAGTGACTAGCTGACTTCCAAGCTCAGGTCTATCTATACTCACAGCTAAGGAAGGATCATTTGATGCCAGATTTAATTCATTTTCTTTGAATGAACTATGTTTTAGCTCAGCAAACATTACAAATGACTCCTCTAGAGATAGCCAGTATAAACACCAAATGTTCAGCAGTGAAAGCTTGCCAGTCTGTTTGGTTAATTATAGATTAATTAGGAGCATATGTGATCAAATAATAATAAATGCTAATATTTTATTGCAAGATATATCACTGAACTTGTTAGAAGCTCTTCAATTTCAGTTGAAAAAGTAATTATTTTTGGTCAGTCGTGGGGCTTGAACTCAGGGCCTGGGCGCTGTCCCTAGAGTTCTTTTTGCTCAAGACTAGCACAGCAGCTAGGATTACAGGTGTGTGCCACCTGTGCCTGATGAAAAATGTAATATTAAATCAACTAGATGCTCAGATGAAAATTTAATGCTACTTTATTATAATCAAATTTCTAGGTGGTAAATTATCTAATAATTCAATAAAGAGCAGGAAGGTAAAATTCTGTATTTAAAAGAGATCCATGTAAATCTTTCCTAAAGATTTAGTCTTCGGCATTGTGTAGAATTAAATGACAACTACTGGTACACAAAAGATTACATAAAAAGAGATCTGAGGTTAGCAGTTCAAAGTTAACTTGGGCAGGAGCCTCCATAAGATTTTTATCTCCTTGGGGCTGGGAAGGTGGCTCAGTGGTAGAGCGCTTGCCTTGCATGCTCAAGGCCCTGGGTTCGATTCCTCAGCACCACATAAGCAAAAAGAAAAAAGCCGGAAGTGGTGTTGTGGCTCAAGTGGTAGAGTGCTAGCCTTGAGCTGAAGAGCTGAGGGACAGTGCCCAGGCCCAGAGTTCAGGCCCCACGACTGGACCAAAAAAAAAATTAAAAAAAAAAAAAAAGATTTTTATCTCCAATTAACTACCACAAAGCTAGAAGGGGAGCTGTGGTTCAGTTTGCATAGAGCAAAACAGTTCAGGGACAGCACATAGGCCTTGAGTTCAAGCCTAAGGGCTGGCACCAAAAAAAAAAAAAAAAAAAAGTAAGACGTGATATATTGCAGTCACTGATATAAAATAATTAGAATATTAGTAAGTAAATACACATATGTATATGCTTTGTTTATTAATAAGTTAAATTTTCTTGTCAGTTACAAATGAAACTAAAACATCAAAGAATATTCACATCATGAATAAGGTTTAAATTCTAATTTGCCACTAGAAAAATGGAAGACTAGTACAATTTCCAGAGTTAAAAATCTAGTTGCTGGGCTCAGTGGTAGAGCGCTTGCCTTGCATGCATGAGCCCCTGGGTTCAATTCCTCAGCACCACATAAGCAGAAAAAGCTGGAAGTGGTGCTATGGCTCAAGTGGTAGAGCTCTAGCATTGAGCTGAAGAGCTGAGGGACAGCACCCAGGCCCACAACCGACAAAAAAACAAAAAACAAAAAAAACCTAGTTGCTAAAACATCATACTATTGGCATAAAAACCAATACAGAGACCAAAGGAATATAACAAAGAAGCAGAAATAAATCCATGCACCTATATAGCCAATTAATCTTTAATGAAGACATCAAAAACCTACACTGGAAAAAAGACAGACTCTTGAATAAATGATGCCAAAACTGTACAGAAGCTACCCTTACTCCTCACAAGCTAAAAAAAACCCATTCCAAATGTACCAAAGATCTAAACACAGGGCCTGAAATTGAAACTACTAGCAACAAACTGAAGGAATACACTTCAAGATACTGGTATAGGAAATGATCTTTGGCTAATATACCAAAAGCATGCCAACAAAAGCACAACTAAACAAATAGAATGGGAGATTATACTGTATTTGCAAACAACTCCTCTGATAAGAGATTAATATTCAGCATGTATAAGGGACTCAACAACAAATGAACCGATTAGAAATAGGCCAATAATCTGAATAAGCATTTCTCAGAAGAGAATAAACAAATGGTCAACATGACTCACTAATCAAGGAAATGCAAATCAAAATCACAATGGAAGCTCAATGCTCTCAGTTCAACCCCAGTTCTGCTCCCCTAAACAAAACAAAAAACTCACATGAGTTAGCATTGCAACTCAGTTAAACTAGCAAGAAGCAAAGAATAACAATAACAAAAACACAGGTGAGAATGTGGAGAAAGGGGAGCTTTTATGCCATCCTAAAATATTATACGGACCTGGTTCCTGGAAAAATTTTAAAAAACCAGAAATTGCACTACTGGCTATATTTTCAAAGGAAATAAAACCAGAAAGTCAGACACAAAAGCCAACTATATCCTTTTTGTCTATCAAATGACTCAATTAAAATTGAATTTCTTCATTTTTCATTGTTATGATATTAAAATTCTTCATAGCAAACAATTCTTTGTCCCAAGTTTTAGGATAAAGTGATTTAATCTTCTACTTTATCTAATTCTTCAAGTTAGAAGTCTATAGGCCAAGAACATCTATCTGTAACTTTTGGTTCTAGGCAACGAACAAGAAAAAGAGGGTCACAAGATAGTTAAAAAAAAATCCTAAGAATTTTGTTGAATACTTAGAGATAAATCTTGAGAAATAATTTCATGCTAAACTTCATAATTCATTTTATTTTATTGTTGCAGTGTCTTGTATGTGCTAAGTATGCACATTACACCTGAATTCTATCCCTATCCCTAAACTTCATAATTTAGTGATTTCAATAAAAGTGTATCACAAATCCATTTGAGAAAGTTACCATTTGTTTGCACACTTGATTGGTAAGAGATTTCCAATAAGTGACTAATTGTTTTTTAACCTACACCAAAGAATTATACAGAGCTAAGATTCTTTGTAGGCTTAGTCACTGGCTAACCATTTTCCTACTTTCTAACCCAATTGTTTTCTCCCAAAGTTTCCATTAACATCTATTCTAAGGTATAAAAATATCACTATATTGACAGAAGTCAGTTGGTCCTTCTTAAGTATATTAAAAGAAAACACCTCAAAATTTTCATTACGTAGGTTTAAAGCCATGTGCTGGGCTGCATCCAAACACAGTATTTCAAATTGTATTAAAGAGTTCAACAAATCATAAAAATTACCTCTTAGAACCCTTATTCCCACCTCTCACCCTCCTAATAGTTTTAAACATAATCTTACATGGAGCTCTAGGGACTTCAAACTCAAGTCAGCAAATGCATCTCCAAGTTGTCTTTGTGTATGCACCATCTGGAAAAGCTGGGTCGACAACGTCTGAGCCAGTCTTAGAATATTTTCATATTTTTTCTTATTATCTCTTAATATATCAATCTGAGCTTCAAGTTCAAGGTCCACAGTTCTTGAGCCACGGCCTAGTTTCTCAGAGATAATTTGTCGAGTACACTAAAAGAAGAAAGATATACTTAATTAGGGAAGAAAAATAAAGAACAAAGTAACAGAGAAACCACAAACATAAACCCTAGGGCATATCACATCTACCAGTTGTTTTTCTTCCATGAGCTAGTCTAACAAACCGAAAATTGATGCTGCTTTATAAGCTTATCAGGATTCAGAAAAAAATCAATATATCAGGGATCAGGTATGTCTAATAACTATTACTAACCAAAGGACGTTTTAAAATGTATCTAGCTCATTTATATACTGCCAAATAAATTCTCTCATATAATCCAATTTCAAGTTTACTGTATTTGGATAAATGACTTCAATATCTGACATTGTTTGAAAAGTACATATTAAGACTGTTAATATAAGAATAACTATCAAAATTCTAACTTCTTATTGGTTTAAATTTTTTTCTCTTCTATCTTTCCCTAAAATAGTTTATGTGTATGTATATGTGTAAAGGCGGAATGGCAGGAAAAAAAGGAAGGAAAAGAGAAAGAGGGAGAAAGTAGATAGGTAGAGATTTGATAGTCTTGAATTCTCCTTTTACTTTTGCCCAGATGGCATAGTGTTAAATTACATTCTTCTACATTACATAATGTAGTAGAAACTTATACATGTTTAATGTATTGAATTTCAAAGCCCTTGGAAATAAGTTTCTTAGTAATAATGTGATAAAAATTTAAAAATGCATTTATTTCACCATTCACTAATATATTTCAAAGTCAACTGCATATGGAATCCATATATTCTTCATAATATGCTCTTTATTAGGTTTCACAATTTTGGTTGAAGGATTAATTTTGCCATCAAGTAATACAGGGAAAAAATAGTGAATTCCCTCTTTCTTTCTTTAATCTTAGCAAACAATAGAAAACTGAAACTATTAACAGTCTCATGGATGTTCTAAACTCTCTTAAACACACAATCAAGTATATGCTATTTTCAGAGTAAGTATGAGATTGTGTTATACATAGTATATCCTAAACTTTTTTTTTTTTTGGTCCGGTCGTGGGGCCTAAACTCTGGGCCTGGGTGCTGTCCCTCAGCTCTTCAGCTCAAGGCTAACACTCTACCACTTGAGCCACAGCGCCACTTCCGGCTTTTTTCTTTTTCTTATGTGGTGCTGAGGAATCGAACCCAGGGCCTCATGCAAGCAAGGCAAGCACTCTACCACTGAGCCACCTTCCCAGCACCTAAACATTTCTTTTCTATGAACAAAATATCTTGAACCTTTTCGCCAATATAGATAAAGCGCCATATCTTGAACCTTTTCATCAATATAAAGTGCCTGGCTTTTTTTCTTTCTTTTAAGAGAGTCTTGCTGGGCACCAGAGGGTGAGCCTGTAATCCTAGCTACTCAGGAGGCTAAGATATGAGGATAGCAGTTCAAAGCCAGCCCAGGCAGGAACATTAGTGAGACTCTTATCTCTAATCTCCAACTAACCATCAAAAAGCAGAAGGTGAAGGTCAAGAATAGAGCGCTAACTAGCCTTGAGCAAAAAAGCTCAGGGACAGCAACCAGTTCAGAGCCCCAGGACTGGCATACACAGAGAAACAAAAACATCTTAGCAATTACCATGGAAAGCATAGAAACATTTCTGGAAGATAAAATCACACCAGGTGAAAAGTTTAACTGGAAACACTGTGATTTTTAAGCAGATAAACTTTAGCAAGAAGTATCTGAAATAGTAACAAGATAAAGGAGATGAGTCACTCATCCGTTCACCTTTTTTAAAAAATTTACTTTATTGTATTATAAAGACTAAGATTTCTCCTGCCAGAGACATTTATTTATTTGTAAGCTAAGACATGTAGTATCTTCCATAGAATAATCTGTTGATAGGCAAGAAGTCAGACTTATTGGAGGTTTGTAGACTGGCAAAATGAAAGAGATGTCTACTGTTGTCTGAGTGGCCATATTTTCACAAAAATAGCAGCTACAAGCAGGCAAAGATTTAATAAGAAATGCTGTATATTTCCCGGAAGGAAGACAGTGACCAGAATAAGGTCACTGTGATGCAAATTAAGATAAAACTGGACATCTGAAACAAGTTTTGAAACTGAATTTACACAGCCTATACTCTTAACACAGGCTATTTATACACCCTTAAGAAAAAGGCTAAGGGCTGGGATGTAGCTCAGTGGCAAAGCGCTTCCCTAGCAAGTGCAACATCCTGGATTCGATCCCCAGTACCAAAAAAGACCAAAAAAAAAAAAAATACAGTTTAAAAAAAAGAAAAAAGCTAAATCTGGAAATGAGATCATTAGAAGTTGTCCACCTAGTTTTGCAAAGAAATAAGTTTTGCCACTCATCAGGGTCTCAGAGGAAGTTTTTTACATAATCCTTGAAGACTGGATTTTTTATTTAAATTTATTTCTAGTGTATACTAAACTTAAAATGCAAAATTGAAGACCAAGATGTATTACAGAGCAAGTTTAAGATAAAAGGGAATGAAGATTAAATGTTCTACCTTTCCTCAAAGTCTGTGAAAATGGAAACCACTTATAATGAGCTGGGAAAGTTTCTCATATAAATTAAGAATTAATTTTGAGAACAATAGCTGCTACATGAAACTAAATTAAAAGGACAGAAGGAAGCTACAGTAAATTATTGACTTACATAGAGGTTTTTCTATTTGGAGAAGGGCGGATGAAACAAAATTAACACATACTGTGCAGAAAACTATGAGTCACCACTGTATTGGCTCATGAATTTATAGAATAGTCACTGTGTACTTAAATAGAAGCAAGAGATTTCTCTGTAATGTCAAATAATAAAGACATTTCAGTATAAAACACTTAAATTCATAACAACAACTGAACAATTTTTAAAAGGATGATTAAGAGCCAGGCACTGGTGGCTCATCATGCCTGTAATCTTAGTTATTCGAATGCTGAGACCTGAGGATCACAGGTTAAAGCCAGCCCTAGCAGGAAAGAATGTGAGACTCTTCTCTCCACTAAACTACTAAGAAGCCAGAAGTAAAGCTGTGGCTCAAGTGGTAAAGCACTAGCCTTGAGCAAAAAAGCTCAGGGATAGCACTCAGACCTTGAGTTCAAGACCTAGTGTGTACACATGGCATGTGAGCGTGAACACATACATACATACATGCACGCATGCGCGCACGCACACACACACACACACACACACACAAACTCACACACAAAGAGTGATTAAGGTGATAGATAGAGAAATGAATGGATAGAGTAGGTCAACCAATAAATAAATAAGCAAGATGACAAGAAACTCAGTTATGAATTTAAAAGGTATCACTTTAGTAAGAGTGTGATTGCTGGGCTGGGAAGGTAGCTCAGTGGTAGAGTGCTTGCCTCACATGCATGAGGCCCTGGGTTTGATTCCTTAGCACCACATAAACAGAAAAAGCCAGATGTGGCACTGTGGCTCAAGTGGCAGAGCGCTAGCCTTGAGCTGAAGAGCTGAGGGGCAGTGCCCAGGCCCAGAGTTCAAGCCCCATGACAAAGAAAAAGAAAAAAAGAAAAAGTGATTCCTAATGGAAAATCAAAAAAAAGTATTTTGCATTTAAGAAAGTTGAACTGAGATGACTATTTAAAAAAAGCTGAGATGAATATTTAAAAAGACTTCAAACTGGGCATTACAGCACAACCTTACCTTTTAAAAAAGATTTTAAGCTAGCTGGGCGTTGGTGGCTCATGCCTATAATCTACTTAGGAGGCTGGGAATGTGGCTTAGTGGTAGAGTACTTGCCTTGAGCACAAAGAGGCTCAGGGAGAGCATATAGGTCCTGAGTTCAAGTCCCACAAATGCACCCCCCCACACAAATCCTTATATTTGTTTTTAATTATATATTATATAAATGGAATTAAGTATTTTCTCTGAATAAAATCCTCAACGTATTTGCTAGAATAGAAACAAGAGGAATTAAAGGCATAAATCACAAAGGAGGGAGGATCAAAGTCAGAGCCAGAATCAAGTTAGTCAAGAGTAATATGAATTCAAGCAGTCTTAAATCAAGCAACTCAGAATAAGAACTTGAAGCATTATCCAAGGACAACAAATACCCAACACTGGCTCTAATTTGGACCCAAATAGTTGAAAAAAGAAAGTCATGTAGACTCACTAGAATTCTTACAGTGAGCTTCTTTTGGTTCAGAGATTTATCTCAGCCTAAACACACAGGATACAATGCTCCATTAAATTATTTAAGTCCAATTTTTTTCTTCTTTTGTGACCTAGACTGGAATATCCAAATTAAGTTCTGATTTTTCATGTAAAAATAAAGTGATCACAGTAAGGGAAATGATCCTTCCTTCAAATGGCATTATACCATGCATGCAATATCTTATGTAAGCCATTTTCATTAACATTCATTTTAAAACAAGCTTCAGATGGTGTGCTAGTACTGTAAAACAGATTACTACAGAGGTAAGAAACAGGTGAAAGGAAATGATAACACAGATACAGACAGGAACAACTAGATAAGGAACAAGAAAAACAAGTAAACGACAGCAGAGGAAGACAAATAAACAAAAGTCTCAACTTGAAAACAAAACAAAACATAGAATTGGTATTTATTAGCTTCAAAAATAATACCTGTTTTCTTAAAGTTCAAAATGTGTGGATACACAATATTTATAGAGGCAGATTTCCTGAACAAATGAAGAAAAAATGGCTAAGTTTGAAGAATGAATGAATTAAACTCTGTGTGGTATGAAAGATAAACAAGCAAAGCTAAGGGGAATTCCAAACAGTTGGTGGATCCAGCTCATGAACAAAGTGCAGAAGTGTGAGAAAGCGCAGGCTGCTTAAGGGGATCACTGTGGAATCTGGCACACACAGATCCACAGGCAAGAGAGAGTAGCAGAAGACAGAGCTGGCAAGGTGGGCAGAGGTCCGATTCAGGCCACCTAGAGACAAGGTGGATCTCCTGAGGGATTTTAAAGCAACAATGACCACATTAGCTGAACATGATCTAAGAGAATCTGCTGAGAAACTATTAACAACACTGAGAAAGAGAAAGACTGAAAAGACAGAGACACAAGGACAGAGAGACAGAAACAGGGACAGAGAGAAATAGACATTAACTCTGGCTTTAAGGCGGCTGGAGGACAGGAAGACGGCAGAACCCATAAGGTACACCGAGTGCATATGTGAGCTCAGGAAGAAGACAGCAGCCATTGATGAATTCTCCGGTTAGCAGCTGTGATACATAAGAAGATTCATAGAATCCCCACCTTTGACAACAGAAGGGACATTGATTTACAAGAATGGCCTACAGGAAAACAGCTTAAGCAGTGTCTTTTCTTTTTTCCATTTTAATTAGCTTATCATCTCATTTACGTGGAGGGGGACACCTTGCTGCATCTCCACGTGTTTACACTGCATTCCACTCAATTTCGCCACTTCTATCACAAACAGCATCTTACCATTGGCATTTCTCGGGTCTGTTCTAACATGGGGTATTTTGAAAAAAATTCACATAGCACATTTAAAAACACTTTTCAATCTGAAGAAAACTTGTACTTTTGTAGATGATCTTAATTTAAAAATACTAACTAAAAGAGCAAATTTACTCTAACACTTCAGAAGACAAGAGAAATCCACTCTGTACAAAAATGTAGACAATTTTTTTTTTTCAGTCATGGGGCTTGAACTCTGGGCCTGGGTGCTGTCCCTCAGCTCTTCAGCTCAAGGCTATTGCTCTGCCAGTTGAGCCACAGCACACTTCCAGTTTCCTGGTGGTGAATTGGAGGTAAGAGTCTCACGGTCTTTCCTACCCACGGTAGCTTGGAATTGTGATCCTCAGATCTCAGCCTCCTGAGTAGTCAAGATTACAGGCATTAACCACCGGGCCAGCTTTGACAATTCTTAATACACTAGATCCTCAACCAATCAACTCCTGTCACAAAGTTGTGTACTGCTGGCACTTTCAGCTATTTAACTACTCCAGGAATTCTACTGCCTTATCCTTGCTAAGATTCCAACAGATTCCAAGTGGATTTGTGGCCTGAGCTGTTTGTAATATATCCAATACCTTGTAGGTTAAATAGTTAAATGAATTTTACAGAGAATAAAGAAAAATAATAAATTTCTCTGGAACAATGAAAATAACAATATTTAAAACTCAGAATCTAATTATTTTGCAGTTAGATGCTGCCTGTACAGTTATTACTTAGTTATTACAAAAGATCAGAGAATTTCAAGTATGAATATACTTTTATGCATGAATATACTAGTGTTGTATGTCTATAATCTTAGCTCTACAGGAGGCTATGACAGGAGGATCACCTGACACCACGAGTTCAAGACCAGTCTGTGCAACACAGTGAGATATCATCTCTTAAAATTAAAAACAAGTGAAGTGCCGAAGCTGGTGGCTCATTCTTGTAATTCTAGCTACTCAAGTGGCTGAGATCTGAGGATTGTGGTTCAAAACCAGCCAGGACAGGAAAGTCTGTGGAGTCTTATCTCCAATTAACAGCTAGAAAACCAGAAGTGGAACTGTGACTCAATGTGGTAGAGGGCTAGCCTTGAACAAAAGAAGCTCAATGACAGCACCCAGGCCCTGAGTTCAAGCTGTACAAACGACCCCCCCCCCCAAAAAAAAGTGAAGTATCAAAGAAAAGGGGAAAATATACCTATAGCAACTCTTAAGCTAAATGTATTTCAAGGCTGATGAGAATTTTAGTACCTTTTTACACTCTGTATTGACTTTTTTTTTTAGGTCAGTCATGGGGCTTGAACTATGAGCCTAGGAGCTGTCCTTGAGCTCTTCAGCTCAAGGTGAGCACTCTACTACTTGAGCCACAGCACCACTTCTGGTTTTCTGGGAGTTAATTGGAGATAAGAGTCTCATAAACTTTTCTGCCGGGGCTGGCTTTGAACCGTGATGCTCAGATCTCAGCTTATGGAGTAGCTAAGATTACAGGTGTGAGCCACTGGCTCCAAGCTTGTACTGACTTTTAAAGTATATGTAAAGATCAACAATGAAAAAAAATGAAACAAACATTTCATTTTTCTAATTGTATTACCATGTTTCCATGAAAATGTAATTCCTATTCATATAAATGAAAAAAAAAGAATCTAAATAACATACAAATGAAAATTCTTAGAAAATAGTTTAAAAAATACAAACCTTATATGTGTTTAGACTCCATTTTCTAACAAGTTCTAACTTTTCCATTGCAGGACTTTTAATTTCATCTGCTAGAACTACTGGTCCACTTTTTGTCTGAGTTCTTTGGCCACCTGCATGATCATAACAAAAGACAAAAATAATCCACATAAAGACAAAGGGGAGAAAGAAAAGGAAATACTGATGCTGTTCACACTAAATTACTTTTGCACTTAAAAAACTAAAAAGGCTCCCACAAAGTGAAGAATTTTAAACTTCCTGGAAGCATGGAAGGTAATAAATTTCCTAGTCACTTAAAAAATGAATGTTTTTGATATAAAGAAATGATAAATGATTAACTTTGTTTAACTTGATTTAAATATAATATATATGTATGTATCAAAATAACTTCACTGTTAATGTTCAGTTTTTGTTTTGTCCATTGTGGGGCTTCAACTCTGGGCTTGGGTACTGTCCCTTAGCTCTTCAGCTCAAGGCTGAGTCGCAGTGACACTTCTGGTTTTCTGAGTGGTTTACTGGAGATAAGAGTCTCATGGACTTTCCTGCCTGGGCTGGCTTTGAACCACAATCCTCAGATCTCAGCCTCCTGAGTAGCTAGGATTAAAGGCGTGAGCCACCAGGGCCTGGCTACTTTTTGTTTTTATATATCAGTTAGAACATTAAAAAAAAAAGCGCTACTATCATTACAGCAAAATGTGTTAAAACAGTGTACATTTTTCTAAGTAGCCCCTCACCCCCAAATTTAAAAAGCAAGGCAATGTAAAGTCCTACCAATCAATAGACTGCTCCAACAACTAAGAAAGAAAACCAACTTTCCTGTTTTTATAGTCCAACCATATGAGTTTCTATAGAAACTACAGGGTTACTATTGAAACTAATTTGAGCATGGCTGTATATTCCTTTAATCCTCCCTACCTTGTAAGATCAAGATTCCAGGTCAGCCTGGACAAAGAAGTTAGTGAGAGTTCATCTCAATGAAAACGCAGGATACAGTGATATATGTTTACAACCTCAGCTATGAGGGAGGTATAAATGAGAGCATCATAGTCCAAGGATGGTCAGGTAAAAATACAAGATTTTAGCTTAAAAATAACAGGAGCAAAAGGGCTAAGGGCATAGCTCAAGTGGTAGAGTACTTGTCTGAAAGCAAGAAGGCCCTGAGTTCAATTTCTAGTATTAGAAAGAGGTGGGGGAAGGGCAGAGAAATACATTCCATAGTTTGTAATAAAATATTTCTAGTAAAGTATTTTCCACAGCAGAAAGATTTTCATAAATGTTTATGAGAATTATGGGAGAGTGATTCCTGTGGTAGTTGGAAAAACAGGTGTAGGAGAAATAGTAGGACAGGGTGCCCTGGGACCCGGCTGCAGCGCCAGGTGAGCCTGCAGTACCTTCCTAACATCATCAGGCCCCTGGGGACACTGCTTGCCTGGGCCAGTGAGGATTATAGCAGGTGAAGTGGGGCTGGGGCATCTGGGGAAGGAAATGGAGGTGGGGTGGGGGGCAGCGGGGTGGAAGGCAGGCTGGGGGGAGGTGTAGGAGATCCCTGCCCTGCACATGGTATGACTACTGTGCCATGTGCGTTCTGGAGCCAGGCAATACAGAGTACCAACACACTGAGGCGGGGGGAGTGTGGTGGTAGAAAGTTTATGATATCAATGACCTGGGATGGAAATTGTCTAAAAATTAATTTAAAAACAGTAAAATAAGGAGAAAAAAAGGTTTAAAAATGTCTTTTTCACCTTATTCTTATAGCCAGACCAACCTTAAACATAACTTCACTACAAAGATTGAGCATGGTTTATAAAATCAAACACATCTGAGAATTTACAAAATCCTCACAGTAATAAAATAAAAAAGAAGTGTGGAGTTCCTTTTTCCTATTTTGTTTCTTAGAGGTGGAGTCTCACTATACAGCCCAGGCTGTCTCATGATCTTCATGCCTCAGTCTTCCAAGTACTGGGGCTTTAGATGTGTGCCATCGCAATGAGCTTCTTTTTCTGTTTTTATAGTCCAACAACATTAAAGTGCAGCCACACTGGTATTTTCCAAGTGTTTTTCAGTGGGTATAACTGGTAAATTAGGTGGTATTTTGTTTTACTCTACAAACTACTTGTAAGTTGAGACTAAAATAAGAAAGCAAACTTATCCAATAATAAACAGCTTAGTTGTTGAAGCTTCCGCTCCCCCCCACCCCTTTTTTTAAACTGAAAACAGGACAGAGGTGACAAGCTGAGATTGTTAGAATGAAATAAATGAACCTGCAATGCCCAGAGCAAAGAAAGAATGTTTGAAACAAACCACATTTCAATATATTTTTAACTTAAAAAAGATTGAATTTCAGCTTTGAGATGTAATTACTCTGAAAAGAAAGATAGGCTGTGTCTAGAAAAATTATTTTCCTTATTGTTAAGAAATAAAGAAGCAGTCACCGAAAAGGCCAGAAAAACACACACCTAAGAATACAAAGCAAGTGAGTATGAAACTGAGTTAGTTTAGCTTCAGCAGTAGCAAGAGGACTTTATCCAATCAGTGCAGTGAATACCTGCAGGAACTATTAAATCACTTCCTTGTTGAGCCAGTCGGCTAGCTGCAACCCTGCTAGGAGACAGAACAGATGGCAAAGGTGGTGCTGGGGAACCTGGAAAGGGCAGATATTTGACTGTGAAAATCCTTTTCCTCTTCCACAAGCTGCACATTTTGAATACAGGTTTAATGACATTTCCTTTAAATATTCAAACACTGAGATTAAAGACTGGATATGTTCACTTTCCTGTAGGATTAAATGCACGACCAGGTTGTGCTCTTATACAAACTGCATCAAAATGAAGCTATCAAAGTGAAACTAAGCATCTTTTGGATTAGGGTTTAATCTTTGAATAAGTGTGACTAGCATTTTAATGTTCATGTACTAAAATTACAATTGTCAGGAGACCCTAATTCTGCAATATTGTTTCAGTTATGGGGAAAAAGAGATTTAATTAAATGTGAGCTACATAATTTCACTGTAATACTTAAAAATATCTGAATATTAAATTCATTTTTGTTCTATGTTGACATTTAAATTTTGAAAATTGGGCTGGGGTTTGCCTAGTACATATGAGGATCTGGGCCTGATTCCCAGTACGTAAATAAGTAAAAATAAAATGTGAAGATGGAGGTCAACAAAAATGATGTCAAATAAGGTAAAGTAACTCTTATTCATTCAATCCTGTCAAATTAAAAGTCATCCCCTAGTGACAATGTTGTCAGACACCTTGTATTCTTACACTGTTTTGTAGAATGGGAACTTCTTTATATAACTACTTAAGGATAATAATAATTTTCAAAAAAAGTCATCCCCTATACAGAATGATTCAGAATAAATGAATAAATGAATACAGTGCCCATAGGGCTTATACTGTATGCTGCTAAGATATGACATGCTTTCTTCTTTTTTATAGCTTTGCTTTTCTAAACATAAAAAAAATGATGTTACTACAAGGTCCATTCACTTCACAGCCTAGAGAGGAGAATATGATACTGGATTATTCTTAATGCCTATTCCAGCAAAGAATATGTACCAAAATCTAAGTTGTCCTAAACAGTTGGACAATTCTACAATAAAAATATATATTACTATTATCTGCAACCTCTTGCAGATAATAATAATAGTGGATCTTTCCACTTGTGGAATTACAAGACAGCACTAAAATTAATATAATTCACTGGTCATCAACTGTAACTACTTAACTATAGGTCTACCAAAAAAAATGATCAATGTAAACATAGATGTGTTTACAGGTTTTTCTTTTACTCCTAAAAATGAGCACTAGAAAAGTTATTCTAGGTAAGAACATTAAAACAGGAGGCAATTTTTCATTTCTATTGAACACACAAACACACACATATCATACAGGATGTGTGCAGAAAAGCTAACTCAGCTTATACATCTGGCTCTTGACTGGTGACTGGGAACCTGAACTTAGGAGGGATTGTCTCCTTCCCACAGGGATGGGCTCACTGGGCCTACAGTGTTTATATAAACAATGTGGTTTATGCTGAGTCTGTATTCCTTCTCAAAATCTAGACGCTTGATACTGCTAGACAGGATGATTTGTGAGTAATCTTAATTAAAAACCCTGGGGAATGAAGACACCTCTGTGCAACTTTGTTAGAAGACTCTTGGAAGCTTACGCCTAATTTTACTTTTTTTTTTTGTCGGTCGTGGGGCTTGAACTCTGGGCCTGGGTCCCTCAGCTCTTCAGCTCAAGGTGAGCGCTCTACCACTTGAGCTACAGCGCCACTTCCGGTTTTCTGGTGGTTTATTGGAGATAGGAGTCTCACGGTCTCTCCTGCCCGGGCTGGCTTTGAACAGCGATCCTCAGATCTCAGCCTCCTGAGTAGCTAGGATTACAGGCGTGAGCCACCAGCGCCCGGCGCCTAATTTTACTTTTTGTCTCATACAGTTTCTGACTTTACTGAATATGCCTGGTAGTCTTCCACTATAATAAAGTATAGCCATGAGTGGGGCTTTACACTGATTCCTGCAAGTTCTCTTAGCAAATTACTGAACTTGCAGATGGCCTTGAAGATCTCCTCTATAGCATGAAAGTAGGAAAAACAGTAATTCATTTTCTTATCTCTTTTGAAATAAGAAATATGTATTTATACAAGTAAGTATAGCCATAAATTTTTTGTTACAAACTAACCAACATAACCTAAATTTATGTTATGATACAAGTTCTGAGTTTCCATTTCAGTACTTCACAGGCTGGGGATATACGCTGTGGTAGAGTTGTACCCAGCATTGCAGATGCCCTGGTCCCAACCCCAGATGATAATGAGTAAAATTACACTCACTAATCTAAAAAGAAAATTATTACAACAATTTCTAAATTGTGTAAGTTCAAGAGGATAATTATTACGTTTGTGACCAATTTTTTGTAATTTTATTAATAAGTATGTATATAAAGAGGTTACAATTCCACACAAGTCAGGTTGTAAGTACAATGCATCTTGATCAAAGCCGTATGTATATTCCAGCATTCCCCCTCTATCCCTACCCTTAAGTTACACTGTTAAATCTGTGACTTGTTTTATCAATAAAGTTAGAGGCTCAGCTCTTGTGCTGTCTTCATAATGGTGGCATAGGTGAACTTCCCCCCTCCCCCACGCAATCATATTTACAAGCACATGGCTCTTACCTTGATATGCTCCTGCTTCAATAACCCTTTCTTTGGTACTGTCAAAGCCATGAGATGTAATTTGAGATTCTGAGAGACCCAGTCCAGATGGTAATGAACGCTTCAAATCCTTAGTAATGTATGGATAAAAGAAAAAAGTTATAAATTCCACAGCACATAACAGTTCAGAATAATTGTGTTATTTTAATCTCATACTATTTTTCTCTTTTCCTTTATATTGTTACGGTTTTCTATAATGATATATAATCAGCAGCAAATATGGCAAGATGTACTATTAAGTGTCACAGCATATGTCAAATATAACAGGTTTTCATTATTTTAGAACTAAGCAGCAGACAGAAATTAAAATTTAATTTAATTTTGTGTATGCTGATGTTGAGCTTGAACTCAGGGCTGTGCTGTCTCTGAGCTTTGTTGCTCAAGTTTAGCATTCTACGACTTGAGACATAGCTCTACTTTTAGCTTTTTGGTGGTTAACTGAAGATAACAGTCTCACAGGTATTCCTGCCTGGGCTGGCTTTGAACTGCAATCCTCAGATGTCAGCCTCTTGAGTAGCTAGGATTATAGGCATAAGCCACTGGTGCCTGACCGAATTAAAAATTTTAATCTACTAATAAATCAGAAAAATCATAATTAAGATCACTAAAATGCTGTGTCTAATATTTAGAAGTTGACTGATGTCTAATACAATGATGAACCTATACCAGTGGCCAATGTAAACAAATTATTGACTTGCAGTATTAATTTATCTTCAGCTTCAAGGTGAGCTGGGTAAATTGGGTTTCTCCAACTTCAGAAAAGGAGAGGCAGCTCAGAGCAAAAGGGTAATAGGGAAAAGCAGGGCTGAAGGTGTGGCTCAAGTGGTAGAATGTTAATCTATCAAGCTCGAGGTTCTGAGTTCAAACCTCAACAACACACACACACACACACAAAGATACTATGCTATAAAGTAGTGTTATATATTTTACTAATCCATCGTACCTTGTGTAATTTAATGCTAAAGTCTACAGCCTACAGTAGGGATCCAGGATATTTTTTTCCACAGGGAGGATTATACTCATTTAATATATCTTAATCAGTTGAAGACAAGTTATAATCAAGCAGGAAAGTATGCAACAATCTGTGATGTAGTTAAAATATTCAGAAGAATAACTACTGTGAGTTAAATGGAAGTAAAGTCTTAAAAGATGGCATCTGTGTGTATAAGCTACCAAGGTGGAGGATACAGAAGGCTGGAGAGATGGAATGACGATAAACCAGGATGCATTCTCAACATAATAAAAACATTTGTCGGGGAGAAGGCAGGAAGGCCAGTCAAAAGCATGTTATTGGCACAGGCTAGCAATTAGGTGCCATGGCAGGTATAGTGAAAGTCTATGTTGAGATATGGGGGCACAGAATGGCAGAAAAATTTGGGAGACATGTGTGAATAACAATCAGTCACAAGATGCACCTACATCTAGCCCAAGACCAGAGGAGGAGCCAAGGAAATGTGGAGAAAAGATGAAATTAGGAATTAAGAATACTTTAAATACAGACTTCTAATGATAGTTTATGGTATAGCCACATGTTAATAAAATGGAATAGCTAAGATTTTATACACACACACACACACACACACACACACACACGCACACACACACACACACACACAACCAACATAAGTTGCCCTTATACAAGTTAATTTCCATAGACAAACCAGGATATTATTTAAACCACTCATCAAGATATAATTCAATTTAAACAACTGTTTCTACTCTGCAAAGGAAGAAATGCAATAAAAACCAGCTAGGTTTATTTTATATATGGTTCTGGGAAAAGGTATGTGCTGCAAATGGAAGTAGGTATCTAATCTGAGAACTGAAGCAAAACCCTTAGAAGGTGAGCAGGCATGGGCTGATGCTTTTCTCTACCTTAAGGTTACCTTTGGAGGACGCCTGATAATCAGACTGGGTATCTAGGTCCAGACATGTTGATTCTCTACCACTAAATTCTTTAGTTAAAACCACAAACATTTAAAAAGACACATGACTTACATACATAGAAATTAAAATAATCTACACTTTAGGACATCAGTTAGTTTTAATATTGCTTAAAACTATTCTTAAGTACTCGTATTAAAGCACTTTAATAATAATTTTCTCCAGTTCCTAACTCCTGTATATTGATCTCCTGCTGTCTTTCTTGTATTTTTAGGCTGTATATCAAATTAGTAAAATTACTGTATTAATAAATGATCATGCAACATCATCTTTTAAAGCACTTTGGTTTAGTTTTGGAAATTTGTTTCATTTATTCAATCTTAAATCTCCAAATCTGTAGCTTGATTTCCCAAATAATCCAGTTACTGAGTGATTATTGGGAATAAACTAAATGAACTTGGAATTTTGTCTGGGAATGGCCCCTTTATCCTACTGTTTAATTAGGACTGGAATTTCATCTTATCTTCACTTGTAGCAAAGTGTGTATCAAGTGATTTGCTACTAACATAGTTGGAAATAAAGCAGTTATCATTAGTGTGTAAAATGCTTTTCATATGGTAGGTCACAGTGAGCACTGTTACTTATTTTCAATTGCAGTTCCAATATGCTTTCTGGATTGAGAGATTCAGGGTAAACTTTCAGAAGGCAACAAGATTGGACAGCACTGACTGGATATCAGTGAACATTTGAGAAATAGCTCGTATTTTAAGTGTATGGTTATTTTATAAAAGAACAGTGGGGCTTGGAGGAGTGACTCTGGTCCTAGAGCACCAGTCAATGAGCAACAGCAAGCCTCAGATACCGAGTTTGAGTCCCAGTCTCCAACAACAGCAACAAAAAATAGCAAGTAATCATTTGATGAGGCAGTTTAATGTAATGGTTGCAATGTTTGCTCTGAAGTCAGGTCAGATGAACCTGAATTGGAACTCTGGCTCAGTAATTTAGTAGCTATGTGATACCAGGCAGGTTCTCTGAATATCTGAGTTTCTTTAGTTCTTACCTCATTAACAATATGTAACAAGTACACAGGATAACACCTGGCACTTCAAATATTAGTATCTGTCTCCTTTGCCCATCTCCAACAGAAATCTTTGGGAGACTTGAAGTTGGAACCAGTAAGATTGTTTTCTTATCACTAAAACTGGGCAGCTGTACATGGTGGTACATGACTGTAATTCCAACTACTTGAAGATTTCGAGCTTGAGGCCAGTCCAGGCAAAGTTAGCCAAGAACTTATTTTAAAAACAAAATAAAAACAAAAGGGCAGGAGGCGGTTCAAGTGGTGGGGTGCATGCCTAGCATCCTCAAGGCCCAAGGTTCAATCCCTGATACCAAAAAAACCCCCAAACAAACAGATCACCCCTCCTTCCCCCCAAAAACCCAAATAACAACAACAAAAAACTCAACCCTGGGCATTAAACGTGTTTTCATATAATTTAGAGTGAGTAATTTTATTTTTTGAATAATGAAGACAGTAGAATCTACCAAGGTCCTTAATGTACCTCCTTATCATCCCAGAAACATAGGATTAAAAGTATCCTCAGCCTTATTATTATACTTACAATGTCATCTTAATTATATTAGGGCATGCCTATATATGAAAACAGCCATATAATTAACTCAATAGAGCAACTACACAGAGGTTACTGAGAGACATGGATTTAAAATGTCCACCAGCTAGTTGCAGCAGTGGCACTTGTCTAGTCTCATCTGCTTGGGAGGATCACATGAGCCCAGGAGCTCAAAGCCAGCCTGGGCATCAGAGTGAGTCTTCATTTCAAAATAAATAACCAGATAGATGGACAGATAATGAAATATACAACTTAATGTATACAACAATAATAGCTTTTATAGAAACTACCTTGAGAACAGATGGAGATGGAGAAAAATACAGGAAAGATATACTTTAAAGAGACAGGATGAGTTTGATACAAAAATAAGCACTATCTAGGAAACACAGAAATAGGGCCAAAAGAGACATCTGGGAAATCATGAACTTCAAAAATAAAGTAATAAAGAAAGAAACAAAGGCAACTCAACAGAATGGATTGGGCTTTCAGTCAATGGAGCACTTCTTAAAATCCTAAAGGCAAGAAGTCCGTGTGTTCCTAAGAATGAAGGAAGGCTACTCTACATCCAGTAAGTCATGCATCTAAGGAATTCAAGGCCCTGAACCTTATGATCACTCACCAACTGTATACCAAATACAACTCAAGCTCCTTCTTTAGAGAGGTAACAAAGTTTCTTGGACAGGAAAAGAAAATGCTGGTCTTGGATCTCAAATGGGTTTCCTGATGCATTATATTTTCATTTAAAATTTCCTTTTGTCCTCTGTTGTACATATGAGGGATGACTTCATTTTCATGAGCAGAGTCAATAGATCCTATGGGTTTTCCACAATAATAACAAGTTAGTGATGTACAGCCTCCTCTTTTAGAGTGCTGGGGATAGAATCCAGATCCTCAAACACACTAGACAAACAATCTACCACTGAGGTATACTCCATACCTTTCCTAATACTCTCACTTACCCCATAAAATACATGCTTGAGCATGTGTATTATTTACTGAATCAACACCTAGTGAGAACCAACTTCATGACACTTGCTGCTCTGCCACCACAGAGAACAGGAAGGAATCAGTCCCTGTCCATGTAGACTTGAGTTCTAGGGGCAGGAAGGCAGGAGATGAACAGTGAACAAACCTATGTCAGGTAGTAATAAATGAAAACAAACAATGTAATCAATAAGTAATAAATAATGAAAAAGTCACAGAGATTTTGGCTTTATATTTCAAGATAAGGCAAGAGGGATAGAGAGTGGCAGGTCATCGCTGCAACTGTGCATGAGTTCTATGGGGAAGGTCTCTGAGGAGAGCAACACACACAGTATACAGGTCTGGGATGGGTATGTTTACTTTTTCTTGCAATCCATCTGAAAGAATACTAGGCACTGAGCCATTTTCCATTCTGAGAATATTGTGGAAATTCTTAGGAAAGCAATATGACAGCAGCTGTATTAGGGAGGAGGGAGCTAATCAGAAGTTAAACAATAGAATACA